AAAATCCAAAAGATACACAAGGCTGGTATATGAAGACCAAAACGCATTCTGGAGTCTGATATGTGGTGCGTCTGCGCGTCTGCGTTCGGCTCGCATTCAATGCTTCATTCTCATAACTATCAAGAACATAAAGCATGATCCAGTCTCCTGTGTTTCGAAATGTCAAGTCAGATATCATATGAAGATTGAAAGGGGCAACGTAGATGTAAATGTGCTGCGTCTGTGTGTCTGCGTTCAGCGCGCATATAAGATCTACTTCGCGACGACTACAGAAGTCTCACTCTTGCACCAACAAACCAGCTTCCAATTATCCAAAAACTAGCAGTGACTCTGGTGATGGGCGTCAAAAACCGCTATGGAAGTCAAGTATGCTTTGTGAGCGCCTGCCTCCAGTCAGCTCGAATATAAAGTCACCTTCCAACGACCATGGAATTCTCTCTCCGGTCCCGCTACACTGACCTTCGGGGGTTCAAACAAGCGGCAGTTCGCCCTCATGAAAACCAAAAGAGATGTTCGATGATGTCATGCGGTGCGCTTGCCGATCTCTATGCGACTCGCACCTCAATCCTGCCTTCTGGCTGGCATCGAAGTATCATTTCTACATCAATCTTATGGCTTTTGGTGGTTCAAAACACGCGCTTATCCTGATCATGGAGAACGAAAGACAACATCGACTGCTATATGCGGTGCGCCCTTCTTCCTTCGTTCCCATCGCACGCAAAGCCCACCTCTCTACGACCGTACCTCCATTCATTTCCAACACGTCCCAGACTTTATTCTTCCAAAAAGACATAAAGCGGGTCTCCATGGAAAGATAAAAGTTCTTTGGCTCTTTTCAATGTGTTAGGCGCCGGGCAGCCTCCGCTTCGGCCGCATGTAAAACCCAAACTCCAACAACTCAGCTCTTATCCATCTACCAAAACGTTACGGACTTCACTCTTCCAAAATCATCAAGCATTCGAAGAATGAGAATCTTCAAACTCACGATTATCGGTTTCATGACGTGAGCTTGTCGGCCTCCCCGTTGTGCGACAGCATAACCCAGAGTGGAATTCCTCATGGAGAAGGGGCGCATGGATATGATTATTGCGCAGGTGTTTGGAAGTTCCGAAAAAGGCACTGCCCTGAATTATGACTGCGGAGAAGGGCACAGAGAACATCACCCAGATCTACTGTCCTTTTGGAGGTTTGGTAACGCGTACTGGCTTTGTGAGTTGTTCGGCATACCACCTCGTGGAGATTCTATACTGCTTGGGTGGCGATCGCGCTAGTCTTGCGTGTATATAAACGTCTCTCTGGGCTGTGGACTCTGACTCCTCACACTTATCAAAAGACCTTCTTTCTGAAAGGCGTACATCGACCAGTTGATGATCTTCCGAAACACCATCGTCGAAATGGCATGGTCCTGCTTCGTCGGTGGGTGCAAAGGAACAGCAGACTAGGACGTCTTCAGACTGGCACCAGAATGTTGACTTGGAGATTCGATGGGTTCAGTCGTCCGGGGAAGTTGATTTAAATAGAAAGGATTATCGCCGATGAGTCGGCTGCTTGCTTCCGTTCAAAGGCCACCGTAAAGTTGCACACGTCTTTCGAGCTTTGGCATTTGGGCCGGGAGGCGTATATAAACTGACGTTGCGCGAGCATATCTCCTTCTCTCTCTATATCAGCGCGACCTGGCCAATGTAATCAAAAGTTCTACGAAAAGTTTGATGAGGGAGTAGAGTGGATTTGAGGAGTCTTGTGCTTCTGACTTGTTGCTTAACCGGAATCACCGGGTGATTACGCGATACATCGCGGACTGTCCAAGTGGGGATGTGTGGAGATATGTAGCTGCCAGACTTCTGCAAGAAATCCTGCTCTTCTATTTTACATCTACAAGATACTGATGTTGGGGAAAAAAGCCGTTGAGACTGAAGTGATGAAAGAAGATTGGAACGTATGAAGGCGGCGCGATGTGCCGAAGGACCTCGCAATATCCAGTTACCATTGGATATTCCGCGGAAAATAAGTGCTCGAGACGAGTCGTTGCGATGCAAACAAGTCGGGAATACCTGGAGAGTGAAATGACGGGGAAGAGAAGTGGAACTAGCGTCACACGTGGCGACGTTTTGAGGCAACCTTTTGACACATGGTCTAGCGCAAAGACGTCACTTAGAGTTTCCATGTCACCGTTCGGTCGCTCCCTTCCAAGGTTTGAAATCGCCGTTCCGGCAGTTCCTGTGAAGACCACATTCGATCAGCTGATGCGCTTACGTTGCTGCTCGCTCCCGCGGGGTCACCCCAGATATGATCTGGCGGGGTAAGGCTCAACGACCAGGTACACATCGCATTCCGCTTCCCGATCGTACTCACCTACTACCACCTCGGTCAACATCCAGCCGACATCTCGGTCAAGATGCCATCCTGAAGTCGAAGCTTTCGGAGCTTGGCCAGCCACATCCGGCATAGCACAGCGCTAGAGCCGTTCCTCGGATCAGCGGGACCCGCTAACGATCACCCGTACCATACTGCGAGTAGGAAGATCGGCCCAGGTTTCGGCACACCAATGCAGGACGACTACACCTCTTCTGTCAGTGTCCGCTACTTGCATTGCAGCTCTCTCGACGAACTGTTCGTGCCGCTGTCGCACTTGATTAGCCCGCGCTGCGCTGATTACTCACTTGCTTTTTCGATAATTTCCGACCTCACCTCCACATCCTCACCATCCGTTTGTGGTACTTCCACCGACGCTGCACCTCCCCTTGTTCAATTGCCGTGCCGAGGCTCGATGCCGATCGACGGCAAGGAGTAATAATTGGGGGCTCTCCTTGCGGCAGGCTCCATACCACAAACAGCAGGCAAGTATACCGATCGTGGTAAGGCCAACTATCCGCGGACCCGCATGAGCGACTCAGGACCTGCGCCTAGAGACTGTGAGGCGCACCGGGTGGTCCAGTGTCCACCATGGTGCAGTCGCTACCCCGAGGCACGAGGAATGCGCTTTGCCATGTCATTGGAGGTTTTGAGACTCTACCCCCACTTCCTGGCTGTTTCGAGTAGACGGCATGGGATGGAATGTTCCATGCCGCTTCAGCCACTATCAAGGCTGAGGAGTTTCGAAAGACCTCGCCGCGCCACCTTTCATCATCGGTATCCTGGAATCGAAGATACCTATGACATACATGTTTTACACAACGACGTCAATGCATGAACAGAGACACCGAATACCCGTCACGACACCTCACCCGCAATCCCCGTTCCTGGTCATGAAGTCATCCGAATCGAGAAGGTAGAGAAGATCTCTACCCACTCCAGACGGTGACAGCCGTTAGGCCATGTGTCGATCGAGGCGCCTACGGGATAGACGGCCACGATTATGACTTAGTGCTCCGAAGCAGATGCAGGTTCCGTCCTATTCGGTGTAGAGGTGCAGACTGGGGATCGGCGAGTGAAACGCGCTAAGAATGTCTGCCGAGGTGAGGTGGGATCTATGGATAGCAGAGGGTGCTTTTTCCTATTACACACGGGTTATCTATGGGGGGAAGGTGGATATATAAGGCAGAGAAGATCCGCTGTAATATCGACACCACCCTGACGATAAGATCATCAGCTCTACTTCTCTCACTCTCATACTCCATACATTCATTCAGATACCCATACCCATCTTCACACATCAACCATGCGTTTCTCTACCATCCTCCCCGCAGCCTCGCTGCTCGCTCTCTCCACCGCTGCCCCCGTCGACAACCTCTCGACCCGCGCCGCATGCTCTTCCTACACCATCATCAACACCCGCGGCACCGGCGAGATCCAAGGCGAATCCTCCGGCTTCCGCACCATGAACCGAAACATCCAGTCCGCAGTCTCAGGCGGCAAGATCTACAACACTGTCTACGCCGCCGGCTTCAGCCAGAACAGCGCCGCTGGTACCGCTGATATCGTGAACAAAGTCCAGTCTACACTTCGCACAAACCCGTCTGAGTGCTTCATCCTCGAGGGATACAGTCAGGGTGCTCAGGCGACGGTGAATGCCATGTCTCAGCTCACTGGCGCAAACTTCGATGCTGTCAAGGGTGTTTTCCTCATTGGTAACCCGGCGCATAAGAGTGGACTGAGCTGCAATGTGGATAACAACGGTGGTACTACGACGAAGAACGTGAATGGTCTGTCTGCGGCACTGAGCAGGGGCATTCCGGATAACTGGCAGGGCAAGACGTTGGATGTGTGCATCTTCGTAAGTCTATCCCCTATCTCATTATCAAGGCGTTTACTAACAGTGAATAGGGCGATGGTGTATGCGATACTACACACGGTCAGGGTATCAACGCTCAGCATCTTCAGTACCCCAGGGATACTCCCACCCAGAACTTGGGTACCCAGTATGTCACTAAGCAGCTTGGTGGTAGTGCTTAGATGACGTGTAGCTTATGGCTATGTGCGCATTACATTTCGGCTTTGTTTTCCCGCTTTGTGAGTGGGTGGTACGGCTATGACTTCCATGTATATATATCTATGAGAATGAATTGGTAACAGAAGCGAATCACAACATCTTAGCGTGAGTGTGACTCTGCCTGATATCTGTCTGCCATGGGAGTAGCAGTGTTGCTCATACCAATCATTAATGTACATTCTCAATGTACAGTACAAACAAGCACTCTTACCGGGTAAACTTCGCCTGACAGCAGTAAGCACTAGTCAATTACCGTACACTACATCCACGTTGACCCCCGGCCCACCTACTCTCACGACCGCGAGCAATAGAGTTTTATTTTCTCGGCCGAACCAAGGGTCTACATGGTAAAGTTAGTGTCAGGCAACCCAGACCAGCATCACAACTCTCAATTTGGTTGGACGTTGCTAGAAGAACACTAGAAGCATGAAACCGGGCGCTAGCAACGTTGATGAGAGAAATGTAGGGCTGAAGGCGGGGTTATGCATGTTTGTTTGGATGGGGAAGTCGTACAATATCGGCAGATGGCTTGTTCGTAAGCTACTCTTCTAGACGTTTCTGTACCGGCAGTCTACAACACCCTGAAAACCGGATACTCATCCCCGACCTCCAGCGGAATCTTGTTATAATACACCTGACTTGCCTCTCCCTCTGGTTCCAACAGCGTAAAAGCATATCCAGCGTTCTTTTGCTTGGTATCAACGTAGAAGCCGCCAGCCGATATCGTAACAGCACGCTGCGTCGTATTCGTCGTGACAGTTGTACCTGCGATGCCTTCGAATTTTGTCCCAGCTAGCTCAGCCTTTGTTACTACAAGCGCTTCGACATTTCCGACAAAGTCTTTCTCCAGAACGTCGACGGTGACACCGAGGATGCGGAGACGCTCGGCTACATCGGCCCAGGCGCGTGAGAAGACGTAGGCTTTTGGTCGGGGACGCGAGAGCGTGACGATGGAGGGATCGCTGTTTCGAGAGCGGACGGGTACGGAGACGAGTGAGCCGGTTGATGCGTCGATGAAGGGAACTGTCTTGTTTGTGATGCGCTGTTCGTAGGTCACGACGATCTCGTCTTTGCTGTCGATGAATGCTTTACGTCCGGCTTCGATGGTGCTGTATACATCGTCGAACTCATCGACTGCTTTATTAAGGATAGTCTCCAGAACGATAACATGCGAAGCTACACGTCGCTGGAAGTGCTGATCCGCGATAGCAATACCACGCGTCTCAACGAGGAAGGTAAGGGCCTGGTAGTTACCAGCACCCTTGTGATTTGCCGCAGCAAGCGCATCCGGCTCTTCAATCGTTATCGTGCCGTTTGCAACACTCGTGGTGAAGTATGGGAAGATGCGCAAGTCCTTACTCTCAGCAACTGAAAAGATGTCGTCGACGAATTCCTGGTTCAACGCTCGGATGCTGGGATTGACGTTCTGGTTCTTGTTCGCGGACACTAAGAGATCCTGCGCGCGGATGTACTTTTCCGCTACCAAGTTGCCGCCTGTATACTCGTGGTCGTCGATGAAGATGTGAGGGTCGAATTTAGACTGCAGCTTTCTAATCGCTCGTGTCTGCTGTCGCTCGAGTACTGCATGGTCGCGGTTTGGATCGTAGTTGGAAGCCAGTTGTCGCTGGAGGTATTTGACGCCATCGACGTTGTAACGCGGGATGATCGTAAGGTCGATCTTCTCAAGGACCTTGGCACTCCACTGGGAGTCTTGCGCAAATTTTCCGAGCAGTGCAAGCACGCCCTCGTCGCCCGCGGGCTCATTCCCATGTTGGCCTTCTTGAATCCAGACACGTAATTTCTTACTACTTTTCTTGCCATTAGTTAGTGTAACGTAATACACGTTACACACGCTCTAAACGCTTTATCTACAATATAAATATTTATATGTTCTATTATTTAGCGTCTATCTAATATTTTATATCTTCTTTAGTATTATTATTTAAGCTTATATATCTATTTATAGTAGCACTTTTATATTATATAAAGTAAGTATAGTATTTATTTTATTAAAGTATTTTTTATTACTACTAAAGTAGTTTTAATATATAAGTAGCTACTTCTTATAAGTAAGCTAGTATACTAAGTATTTTATTTAAGTTAATAGTTTATATACTATTACTTACTTATTTTAAATAAAAGTTTAAGCTATTAGTATAAAGTCTAAAATATTAGTATAACTTATAAAAAATATAGTAGTATTACTTACTTAATAAAGTATTTAAGTAGTAGCTATATATTTTTAAGCTATATAACTTTTTAGTATATATACTTATATAAAAGAAATACTAAAGAGCTTATAAAATTACTAAAAGCTTAAAAGCTTATTTTTTAGTTAAAAAAGCTATAGTAATAATATTAGAAAAAATAAAGATAGTAATAGTAATAATAAAGTTATTTAGATTTTATATAAGAGTAATAATAAACTAAAGTAAAAAGTGTACTATATTATATATAAGAGAAAAAGAAGTATTATAAAGATAAAGCTTTTATACTTTTCTTTAACTTATATATATATAAAAATCTTAAACTCTAGTTTTATTTTATTCTATTTTATAGTACTATAATAACTTATTAATAATAAGCTACTTATAACTTTTATAATATACATAAGATATATAATAACTAAATCTGCCTATTAAATATAGAAGGGATGCAAAAGAGGTTAGTGTAACGTACAGTATCGCGCGATCTTCCTCGGATCTCAGGTCGTTATTGTAGGTGATCCATCCGTTTCGCTGAGTGAGGCCTTTCACGAAGGTTTCTGCCAAAAGTCAGCAATCCCATCAATGCAGGTGTTGCGGGCTTCGAAAAGTACCCAGATCACGCTGTGGAGTGGGTCCAGATGTGCCGTTCGCGAATGTCGCAGGTACATTCCCCGGGTTTATGAAAGCAGGCGACAATAGTTCAATGCCATCGACGTCGGGAAAGTTCGCCGCCACTTGTGGTGCATCGACAATTACCGGTCGTATATTACTAGCATATCGATCCGCGATGGCCGTTGTTGCGTAGAGTGGAAGTACAGCTAAGACTGTCTTGTAGGAGGCCCTCATGATGATCGATGCGTTCACAGTTGACGTTCTCTGGAGTTCGAGGCTGATGACCTAGCAGATGGTCCGAGAGTTGCTGCGAGGTACATCTCTCGCTGAGAATGAGGCATTGCATGTTTATACGTCAACCGCGCATGCTGTTTGGGTAGTCGTGATGTGTATGTATAAGCACGTTATCAGGCATGGATTAGGAGCGGATGTCTGCATCCATGGGAACCTCGCAGCCATCTAAACGTCTTTTCAGCTGCTAAGGTCTTGGTAGTATATCGAGCTTCCTGTTATGGGATAACTTCAACATGACGTGAGTGGGGACGAACGGCAGTCGAGAGGGCGGAGAGGAAGAACGCCTGGCGCTTTCCTCCGCTCCCGAGCTGTTGGGGCTTGGCAGATGGCGTCATGCAGATCTATCGGCATCAACCCCACGATGGGATCACGCCTACACAATTCGATCGTAGAACATCGAGCTTCAAACATCGAATTACTTCTGCAGCTTGATAACCACCAAACATCCGACCGTCTCTCCAATCCTCACTCCACATCAAGCGGCGGTGTCCCCAAAACATTAACAAACCTCCCACTCCTCTCCACCTCCATAACCCATTGCCTCCAAGGCTTAAACACAATCCAGCGATTCATCTCACTCGTCGCTTTTCTCTCTTCCGCACTCAAATACTTCACACCACCTCCAATTCCCTCACCGCCACCAACACCAGCCAACAACAGCGCCTTCGTCTGCACCCTCGCATTACTCGTCGCGTAATACGCAAAATCCGTGACCTGCTCTATCCCGTCGCCAACTGTTACGAAGCCATGTCTATACATTAGAAAAAACCGTCAGCAGATGAATCACCATACATTCATCGCCTAGGAGAATACTTACCCGCGCATCAAAACCGTCGTATGTAAAGGACTTGTAACCCTCGTCTCATTCCGCCCAAACATCCCCGCCAGTCCCCTCCCCAACCTCACACTATTCACCAACATATCCCTCGGCTCCCCCTCCTCATACACATCCTCGATATCAAAGTTCGGTACCTCCAGGCCCAGAAACCCAGACATATGGTACACCGGCTATATGCCCAGCATTCCCTTTCCATCTCCATCTCCATCTCCATCTCCCTTCCCATTACCAGCATAATCTAGAACAGTATACGGCAGCACATCCTCACAATGACTATGCACAACACTGTTAACATCAGGATATCTTTTCAGTATCTCACTGTGGATATAGCGTTCCGCATATCCGCCCGTAGTACCGGGTAAGGGCGTGCCGTCGGCGATGTGGTATTCGCCTATGTCGGCGGGGGAGGAGACGGTCGCTGGGCCTGTGTTGTTAATGATGAATCAGCTTCGGAGGTCTTTGATAGTTAGGGGGTCTTTGATATTGAGAGCGTAGGGATGGGGTAAGTATACCAATTTGCAAAGCGATGAAGAAAGTGGTGTTTGTGTTGGAGTTGCGGACGCTGATGTGGCCAAAGGGGTCGAGGACGGTGTGGTGGGAGAGGATGTGGTTTGCGGTTATGAGGGTGGAGAGGAGGGGGGTTATGTTCTTCATTGTTGGATTGGTTCGAAAGGATGTCAGATGAAGGTTGATGGTAGGCAAGGTGGCTCAAGGAGACGGTGTTGAATGAAGCTATGTGATCAGCGCAGGGAGTGTTGGTAGATATACTGATATATCTGGGTGGACATACGTCAAACAGGTAAGCATCATCGTACAGCGAGGATCTCCGGATTATGATCGTTAGCGCGATGTTAGTGGTAGCCTATGGTCGATCTTGCAGATGGCTACCAAGACGTGATTATCGTACATGCGCAACGTTCTCGGGGAGTAGAAAAGATGTACTATTACAAAGATGTATTTGCTTGGAGATGCAACATTATTCTACACAGCTACGAAATTCATAATTAGATGCATGCACAGAGATGCATCCGATGGTGAGAAGTGGTATATAGCAAAGCACGCAAGATCGTGCTGGAGTAGGGCGGTAACATAAATTCGTTGCCGCCGCGAGATGTTACGGGGATCGTAATAGTCGATGTTGTGAAACACCATTGTCGGGACGGCAAGCTCCATCCGATCGGCTGCGAATAAGCTTCATCATCGACCACCATTCATAGCGCCTTGGTTGAACTCGCTTGTTCCGTGGCCGGTGTTATTCGAGAAATCCGGAAGTACACCGTTCATACTGATGCCATCCTCGTATCCCGAGAAGCCACCAGTCATATCCGCCCAATCCCATTCCAGTGTCATTGGCATCTTCCATAGATCCTGTGGAACATTGTTCAGAGTCTGGTCGAACTGGCCCATGCCGGCCATGGCATTAATGTTTGCGTTAACGCCATTTATGTCACCACCTGTTGTCATTGGTAGACTTTGTGATTGCTGAAGCATTTGTGCGGTGATCCCTGGTGAGCCGTATTGGCTCATCTGGATGTTGGGTTGTAAAGAGTCGTGCGTAAAGTTTGGCGAGAAGGGGAATGGCTGGACAAGTTAGCTTTAGTCTAGTACAATGGTGGTGAGGCTTACCTCGTTGAACCCATGGAAATCTGGATTGAAAATCATGCCCTCTTGGGCGGGGGGATTTTGTGGGGTCGTAACTTGCTGAGGTGGGGATTGTGGGTTACGACCTGTCGAAAGAAGCTCAGCCGCGGTCGCTTCGATCTGAGCATCCTGTTCGCTGTCGCCCTGCTTCCTCTTCCGCCGTGACGCATGCTCACGATCTGCTTTCTCCAGCACGATAGTAGCAATGCGCTCAAACTCGGCGCAAACAGTGCACATGCGCTTAACACTGCCACTGCCTTGGTCGTCATTCAGCATGTTCAGAAAGTTGACGACCAGCTTCATCAGCTTGAGATCTGACCGTGATCGTGTGTCTTGTGGATTTTGTAAAATGTTGGCGAAGAGCGTGACCAGAGCGGTGACCGGGAAGTAGATGACTAGCCAGACACATGATAAGTCACCTTTCGGTATGTACTTCAAGAGATGTATCGAAGCTCGGGCGGCTTGCACACATAATTGAGCGGACATGAAGACTCTGGGGTTCAGAGGGCGAGCGTTGAGACCTTGTATCGCGAAGTTGGATAATCGACTAGTCCAGTATCCGTGGTGTACGCTCATGCGGTGGATAGTGGTTAAGCAGTTGTAGTATCCGAGATGCAGTACTGCGACTTGGAGGATGAGTGGGGTGTGCGATGCCTTGATGTCGTGCTCTGGCCTAAACTCCAGTGGTATGTCGTCCTTCCAGGCTTCCAACTCTTTGTCGAGTTCGCCAATAGTATTGAGTAGCTCGCCATCGGTCTGCTTGGATGCCTTTACGGAATAGAGGCCCTTGTAGACTTTGCTTTGAATCACGGAGAAGGTACACATGAGACGGAACAGGTTCATGGTACCCTTTCCATCCGCGAGCGGGATGTTGCCGATGTTGTCCGGTGGAGTCTCGCTCGGTAGCTCGACGTTCATATCGTCATCGTCTTGTACAGGTGGTCTGCCAGACCGTAGACAGATACTTGATGATGTCAGTCTGTGTATACTGGTGCAAGGATATAAGACTCACTCTTTGTCCAGCATATAGGCAATCCAGAAAACACGCCTTCGTTGCTCGACCTCGGCGGCGTTGAGACTGAAGTTGGCACCCTTCTTGTGGAGACCAATGCTATGCGCAAGTCGCATGGCGGTGGCAACGAAGAAGTAGGTAGGTTGTGGATTTGGCGTTCCTAAGAGAAAGAGACCCTGAAATCATTAGATGAGAACATCCTCAAAGTCCGTCATTACATACCACTCCCAGCAAAGCCTGGACACTGAGAAGATCGGTGTTGCGCATGGTGAGCTCTACCATGACACTCATCGCATTCTTCAGGTACTGCCACGCCTTTTCGTCTTCTTCTGCTGGGACTAGATTGCTCATGACGCGCAGTCGATGTGCGAAAGCCAGAGCGACATTCAGACTGGCCCACCAGCCGGATCCTTCGTATGGATCTTTCGAGTAGTGCTTATCTACTAGATGCATGAAGGTCGGTTCGTGGAACAGCGGAAACATGCAGTTGAAGTTCTCAAAGTAGTCCTTGAGTAAAGACAGAGCCTCATGTTTCGGCGGCAGTTGTTTGTAGACGCGGCGCTTGAAGATGTCCTGGAAGACGTCGGGCCGCCATTGGATCCACTTGTTGTCCTCGACGGCGGCTGTGGAGATCATGTCGCGGAAAGAGTTGTCGCCGGTCTTTTCGTTGACCCATTGTATGCCTTTGGGCGAGAAGATGGAGAAACCGGAAGATGAACCTGGGATTATTAGCGGTGAAGACGAGGATTATGGACGACATACCGATATATCTGGTCTCTCCGCAGTTGTTCGTCACCAGGGAACACATCATCTCGGCGAGCGCGTCCTCTTCCTTGTCTTTGTCCTTGGTGGTGTCCATCTCTTCTTGGGGCTCTGGTGAGGCGGTGCCGCTCCTCGGACTGGGGAGAGCTGGCTGGGCCGGTGTGCCATTGGCGGTCGAGTGGCCTGTTGTGGGCGGCGCCATCGAGGCTCGTCGGTCGTCGATGCTATTCCGGGGTGTAGCGGATCGGCCGGCTCGTGCCTCCAGCCGCCGCTCGAGTGTGGCCAGGTCGGTGCTGCCATCGTCGTCTTCGGGCAGGACGCCAGAGAGGCGCATCAGCGACTCCATGCGCGCCAGGCGGTTCTCCAGACCCTCGATGTACTTGGCGCTGTGCACGGTCAGTATGCCATGTGCGCAACACCGCGATCGCACCTACCCCTTTGGCGGTTGCCGCTTCTTCTCGACCTGGGTGAAGATGCACTCGGTCTTGTAGTTCTGGCAGTGGGTGCACGAGGGCATCTTGCCGTCGCACTTGATCTTCTTCTTCCGGCACATGTCGCACGCCTGCATCCTGTCAGCATGCCGTCGTCACCCGCATATCCGCGCGCTGTACCCGTGCGATGCGCCGCCGCTTGGGGTCGCTGTCGTTGTGGTCGTCGTCGTCGAGGTTGAACATGTTGCCCGGGGGCATCTGCGACGGGTCGTAGGTGCCGCTGCCGAACAGACGCGGCGGCGGAGGGTTCATCATGGGCGGGCCGGTGGCATAGAAGCCGTTGGGAGGGGGGTTCATGGTGTCCACGGGTATTAGGAGGCGCTATGTCGTCAGTCGTGAGGTCGTCGGGCAATTGGGCCCTCGCGGATATCCGGGGCGTCGTGGTGTTTTGTGAGGGCGGAGGGGTGTCGTGCTGGGGGTCTGGAGGTCTAGTGCTGAGCAGGGTGAAACGCTGCCGAGGATCGCATCTACAGGGCCCTGGGGGTGGGTGTCGCAGACTCGCCGAGTGTCGAATCGTGGCCGACGGTGAACGGGTGAGGCAGAAAGCTTGTTTGGCCTGTTGCAGATGCGCAACGCCCGCTAAAAACGGCAACACGAGGATGGCGGTAAGGGTGATTAGTCGGCGGGCAGCAGCTGAGACGACACCTGAGGCAGCTCTTCTCCGCGTCTACTACAATAACTACGGCCAGCCTAGAGAGCCGCGTCGTCCGTAGTTCGCGCGTCCAGCCCGCCTTAGTCAGACACGAGTTACGTTAGTTGGGCTGAAAACGGGCTAGTAGACATGACGTTGCGATATTGCTTCTCCCACGCGTTTGGCAGGTGAAGAACTTTATACGCCTAGCAACTTAATCAATACAGCTTATTCCCTTGACATTCACCAGGCCAGTCTAGAGCATACTACTCTGTAAGCCTGGACTTGTTCATTCTACCTCATCTGTAAGCGCCTACAAGAATAGTACGTCAGCATTCCTGGTCCCTTCCGCTTCCAACGCTCGCGTACCTGTCGCTTGCCGGGATGCGCTATGGGCACACCGCTACCAAGAGACACATGCCGAGCGGCAGCCACACGACAACGTAGTCCACCCTGCTGCGCCACCACTCCCGTCGCATCCTCGCATCTCCGCCCCTCCTGACATTCCACCTGCCTGACACTCCACCTGAACCTCTGACTAACTTTCCAGATCGAGGCTTGCAACACTACCCGCCATGGCACCAATGACGGTCGAAGAGCTGCAGCAACATCCCGAATTCAACCACACCATCTGGGATCTCAAACCAGAAAAGAAAGGCAAGGCCGTTGTGGCCAAAGACCGTGGCGGTCCCCTTAACATCGCTTACGAGGTCCACGGCCATGGCGACAGACACCTCGTGGTAAGTCGCCCCACTTTCGGTATTAATATCTGCTCCAACATGATGCGCTGCATATCACGCCAAAGAAAGCTTGTTCTTGACCGGGATGCATTTGTAATGTTCCTCTTCTACCAATCCACGGGTACCGGCACCCTGTCACCGTTTCGTTTCAGTCACAATGACCGTCTCAACTCGTCTGCGTCGTGTCTCAGGTTGTCCAACTCGCACACTTATACATTTCACTCTATAGCCGCTTCCGGCATCTTCCGCACACATTGTTATCGTGAAGAGTCAACGACTGACGCCATGTAGTGGGTCATGGGCCTTGGGGGCATGAAGTATGCATGGCAGCGCCAGACGAAAGACTTCGCCCACAACAAAGGCGATCAGTACTCGTCGCTGGTGACTGACAATCGGGGAATCGGCGACTCTGACAAGCCCACGTCGAGATACTCCACCTCTGCCATGGCTCAGGACCTGGTCGAAGTGCTCGACCACATCGGCTGGACCGGCAAGCGTGAACTGCACGTCATTGGCATAAGCATGGGTGGAATGATAGCTCAGGAGATAGTAAGTCAACCACAGTTTCCTTGTCATGATCATCGACTCGGATGCTACACGTTCCGCGATCGAACACAAATACTCGACATGTAGTCGCCAGAAACATTTCTCTGGACTTCTGATACCCAGCATCATCCTGTAATCTCATCGGCGCTTTCATCTTCCGCTCCGCTCGATTCTACCCCACCCCCACGCGTTCGATAGTAGAGCACATATGATCTCCGGTCGTGTATGTCGATCGTGGGGGATGCGGCGAAATTGCCTATTGTGGACTGTCATCATGCATCATCGCTAACAAATATCTAGGCTATGTTGATACCGGAGCGGATATGCACACTGTCGCTAGTATCAACAGCCGCACAACTGTTCCGGACAACCGTACGTACCGTCATATTAAACACCTCTTTAATCACTAACAACCGCAGGGCTTCCTCGAGAACCTCATCAACCGCGCCAACCTCTTCATCCCGAAATCCCTCGACGCCCAAATCGAAGGCGTGAAAAAGAATCTCTACACTCAGCAATGGCTCGATTCGCCCGACACGCTCGAACCCGTCGTCCAAGCCTTCCCCACAAACGGCGACCGCTTCGCCGCCAACGAACTCTGGAAAAGGCAGCACCCAGAGTACTTTGGCAAGGCGGGTTTCATGCTACAAGCCATTGCCGCGGGATGGCATCACAAGAGTCCCGAACAACTCCAACAGATTGCGACGACGGTTGGCAAGAACAGGATAATGGTCGTTCATGGAACGAAAGATCGCATGTTGACGTTCCCATTGGGCGTCGTGCTGTGGCGTGGACTGGAGAAAGGCGAGGGTGTGACGGGTAAAGAGAATTGGTTAGGTGTTGAAGAGGAGGACGATGTTTGGCAAGAAGGTGAGGTTGAGAAGCATTTTATCAAGGGTCAGGGGCATGTGCTGCCTGCGGAGATGAGGGAAGAGTTTAAGGGATGGATTGAAGGGTTGGTGGAGAGGGGCATTAGGCTGAATCAAGAGGCGGGTATGTAGAAGTGCTACCAAATACTATTGTTGCATCATCTCTCGTCACAGTAAACACGCATATAACTGTCTTCCGCCCTGCAATTGTCTCGTGGGATAAGTGAACCAAGTTACCAATTCCTGCGAAAGAATCGGCATTGCGACCCACAAATAACCGGCAACACCATATACAACAGTTTGAAACATACTCGATTGACATTTGATCGATTACATCGCATGCCGTACGTCCCGACCAGGACCTCGGCACATGAATGGCTGGGCGGGGTATGCCGACATCACCACTCGGCATCACCACTCCATTATATCTCTTCAATCAACATTACAATTTGGAAGCACATGTAGTAAGCAAACTGCTAGAATCTAATCAAGCAAATATGGCTCCTCTGATACATCACCCACCGGTCGTCTTGTTCGGCTATGACTGTGAGCACGCTGCCATCCATCCCATCACATAAACTGACCACAGCACAGCAAGTCCATTTACGAACAAAGTCAAACTGACCCTCCGCATCAAACAAATCCCCTTCTGTAAGCCTCCACCATCCTCCCACCACCATCCCCACCACCACCACCACCCTCCAACTAACCCCACACCACCCGCTTGAAGCATACATCCCCGTCCCCTCCATGCTCCCCCGCCCCCTCATAACCTCCACCTTCGGCCTGCAGTACCGACGCATCCCCATTCTAGCAATCGGGCGACACATCTACTGCGACACCTCGCTCATAATCGAGGCTTTGGAGCATTTCTTCCCTGCAGATCAGGGCTGGGGTACTGTGTATCCGGAAGCACAGGGTTTGGGAGTAGGAGAGTGGAAGTATAGGGCGATGGCGAGGGGGTTTGCGGGGTTTTGGACGGATGTAAGTTGTGAGTTTGCTTTCAGTGGAGAGGGGATAGGAAGGGAAAAGGAGGGGGAAGGGGGAAGGGGAATGTGTGGTGCCCGTATGCTGACTAGAGCAGAAACCGTTATTCAGAACAACCACAGGTTTCATCCCCCCCTCCGTCTGGTCCTCGGATTTCGGTAAAGACCGCGCCCAATTAATCGGGCACCCTATCCAGCCCGAAAAGCTGCAGGCTAAGATTCCGGATAACCTTTCGCTTCTGGACATGCACCTTTCGATGCTGGAACCGATGTTCACGTCTGGAACGTGGGCGATGCCGACGCAGACGCCGAGCTTGGCGGATTTGAGTTTGTACTATCAATTAAGGTGGGGTATGGATATTGGGGCTGGGAGGGGGATTGGGGATTTGAGTGGGGGTGGGGCGAGGGATACGGATGGGGAGGAGGATGTTGTGGGGCTGGTGTTTAATGCGGAGAGGTATCCGGGGTTGATGAGGTGGTTTGAGAGATTTGAGGAGTATATTGATGGGCTGCCTGATACGCAAGTAACGGTGAAGAAAGGCGATGTGCAGTGGAAGGAGGCGCTGCGACGGACGCCTTTGTTGAAAGATGAGGAGCTGTTGGTTCCTACGGCGGTTGCGCCGCATGAGACTCTTGACACGAGGAGAGGGATGGTACCGGGTGTGGGTGTGAGTGTTGTACCAGATGACACTGGGCGCGGTAACCCTACGAAGGGTACGTTGGTGAAGATTGGAAGTGAGGAGGTTGTCATCAAGCCGGATGAGAAGGCCGAGTTGGATATCAGAATCCATTTCCCGCGCCTGGGGTTTATTGTGAAGGTTGCGAAGGGAAGTCGATTGTAAATCGCTGGAGACAGGAAGAGACAAAGCAAGAGACCGGTGTTGATCACGCGATGAGCATGCCTCCGTCTTGTGCTTGCAATCTATCGAACGCCCCAGAGAACTCGTTAGCGGATTGAGCGATGGCTAGTTCCACACCTCTCTCAGCATAAAAACCGGTAGCGGCGTAACGCAAGTCGGGCGATTTGTGAGAGCGTACAGCGCCGAAAGCGTTCAATGAGTCTGGCAGTAGAGCCTCGCCAGCTTGCCAATTTTCGTCCTTCATCTCGAATGCAACAACCTCCTCTTTGCTATGAGACTCTTTGATGTAAGCCGAGCTCAGGAACGAAGTATCGGCAGCTACTGGATTGAACCACCCCACAAGTCTCTTACCACATCGAGCTGCCATGACTACGCCACTGATGCCGCTTTTATCTATAGCCAGGCTCATGTACGGGTGGACACTCCAAATCTCCGTTGGGCCAGCTGCTTGTATCGTGGGGTGGGGCCACAAGTATTCACCAAACCAGGGTTTGAAACGTAGCCCTCCCCCAATTCCTGCCATCAAATCGCCTTCAGTGTTGTCGACCCCTTGATGTCTGATTGGAAGATCGACGACGGCGATTTGTCCTAGTTCCTTTGGATCGTCCGTAGCACGTATGAGAGGTAGCGCTAATACCGAAGTAGAACCGAGAACACCGATTAGTCTATGAGGTGCTGAGCATGTATTGAACATCTTGCGACAGCCGTTGTACATTGCTGCAAGCACGTATATTATGTGAGCACGGCTGACCCTACCATCGCTTCTCAAATAGTGACCAAGCTGGGTGCACAATGCCAGGAGAGTCGTGCAGTCTGTACTCCATATGCTGTGAAATGAAGATCGAGATTCGACCAATTCGAATGACAAGACTTGTTTCAACAATTGATAGTAGAAACCAAGAAGAAAAGCCTGATATTTGAAGAAGATGGTCTCATGAGCTTTATGGGATGACGAGGACCTGCAGTCATCCTGTAGTCGGTGGTCGTTCGCTTGATCAATCGCCGCGGACGAGCTTTCTATCCGCAGTAGGTAGTCGTTTGCAACGTGGCTCTGGAGCCATCGTAAGCTCTCTGTCGACTCTCCTTCAAGGATCCACTCAAGGGTCTTTTGTATTTGGTTGCTGTCTGTGGGAAAGCCTTGGTCGGCAAGCATGCCAATGTGCGGAGCGGACTGAATAGACGCTCGTGCATCAACAGGTACCTCGAGGGTGTAGTATACCTCCATTCCAGCATGATACGGTGCGTCCGCCTTCGCGATCAAAGTCAAACTATCAGCAGCTTCCGAACCGCATTGCCATGCATGAAACATCATGTTCTCCAATGGAGTTCCGACCCCAAGCGAGTGGATCATTGACTGAGGCTTGTCCTGAGGCCAGGATATAAGGTAGGGCTCGGTAGGTGTTTCGTCCGCAGCTAGACCTAGGTCGACTTTTTGTGACCCAATCAAATGACCTTGGGGATGATATGTAATGCAGGCTTGCGATTCATGCGAAGGGTTTCCGTCAGTGCACAAGTCGAGCTTTACCTCTCTCCAAGCCTCAGCCAAGGAAAATGTAATTGGAGACAAGACATTGCATACTGACATGTCCCCATTGAAAAGCCAAACAAGCATGTTCTCCGCGTCTTGTGTTTCCGCGTCATTCAGCTGGGGAACTGGGCTGAGAGGCCCCTGACCGACGGGGTTTTCCGACCAACTCTGACGCATTTTCCGCTTGATTGCGAATGCTATCTCTCTGGTGCACCCGAAAGATCTCCACGACTCGACAAGTTTCTTCAAGTGGAAGCTCATAAAGGGCGACATGTCGACGTGGCGATCTACTATCGTGTTGAACACACGAAAAAGAAGGTCCTGAAGTCCTGAAGAGGGCATACACTCGTCCAATGCCGAAACAATTGCCACCATGACCCAAGTGAAGCTGTCCCACTTGTCCGGCGCCTCCTCATGGGGTTGTTTTTCGATCCGACTATTGTGTTGAACAAATCTCAAGCTTGGCCATCTCTTTTCCATTTCAATTACGTCCACAAGACCGGGCCTTCTGACGAGGGAGTCGTTCCTGTCGTCCTTGTGCTGGAAAAGATCAATATCCCATTCTCCCCTTTGGAATCGATTCCGACTAGTGGCCCTAGCGTGAGCAAAGCTGCCGATTTTCGTGCCTTGATCAATAAGCAAAGCCAGATCTGACATCGATAGATCCAACTGCATCAAGCCATTGGTACCTGCAACGATTGATGCAATGTCGGTTGGTTTGCTAGTGAAAGACATGTCAGTGGACTTAGTCTGCGAAGTTTGAGCAATGGATAAGGTAGGCTCGCGCTGATCTGCAGGCAGCGGGCTAATATTCAACAAAGAGGTGTTCGTGACCCTGTGCCCAGGCTGCACAGCTCGTATTGCGGGCAAAAGGTCATGCAAATCCTCGATAGCTGTGTGAAGACGGTGCACAATCATGGATAGGCCCGAGTTGGGGTCGACCATTGCGTTCTCGGAATTTGGTTCTAACGTTTGCGCCGTAGCATCTTGAACCTCGTGTAGTGAGGATGTATGGCTGATGTTACTCCCGAGGGCTTCGTCCGGTTGGTAAGATGACTTTGTTCCCATTTTGCGGTTGTTTATGAACGCAGCTGCCTCCCTGACAGCGAGCGGCGTAGAGCCAAGGATATCTAAAAGTCGTAAAGCTTGGTCTCTATACGCTAGAGAGCCCAGTTGCTTCCCAACACTAGCCAATGCCTCATCTGTGTTCATTACTGCAACTTCGATAATCGCGTTGCTTGAAAGCAGGTCCTTGAGTCCTTGTGTGACCTCCCGGCCTCGGGATGTAACAAGTATTGACCCATTGGGGACTTGTGGGAGAAAGTTAGAAAGTAGACGCCAGCGTAAGTGCGAGCTGGCTGGGGTATGTTCTTGCAATGGACGGCGAGAGAAGAACACGTCTATATCATCAGCACCATCCACCAACATGGTCCACTGTCTAGTTTTGGAACCATCGCACAGCCAGCTCCGGACGAGTGACATGATGTCAACCCTAGGATTGTCGTAGTGTTTCATTTTTACTACGTTGGCAATCGCGCAGTAATCTTCTTCGAAAGTAGCTCGCGTCGCTGCGTTGATCCAAAAGATCCATCTCGATGGCATCTGCTCACGGACTAGGTAGGCGTATTCGATGGCGATTTGTGTCTTTCTGGACTTCAAATCAGTCATTTGTGACATAATAAAGACAGTAGTATTTACCCAACACCTCGAGGGCCAAGCAGGGTTGCAGAACCAGCAGGCTGAGAGCATCTGTGACACACCTCCGCTAGATAATCGCGGTCGATGAAAGCTCCATTACGCGGAAAGGGAACGGTCCATGGACGCGGCGGACATGGCTTCGTCGACGCTTTACTTTTCAGTGAACGTTCTGCTTTTCTCCGCAACCGTGTCAGTGCCGCCTCACGTCCCTCGCCGTACAGAAGCGACATGTGGATGCCCAATAAACCTAGAAGAGAGTATGCCGCATCCTCCTCTCTTTTCGTTTGACGTCCCTCCATCCATGACATGCGTTCGTCAATGCTATATTGTGACAGCGAACAGCCTTGGAGTGCTGGGACTGGCACCTTTGTCCTAAAGTGGAGAGCCTCCAGCAGTGTGACCTTGTCTCCAAGACGCGCGCCAGTCCCCGAGAAAAACTCGACAAATTTTGGCGCAAGCAGTTCTTGCAGCGTCCATCCCCGCTGGAACCATCTGCTGCTGTGGAACATGTGTGCCCATTGTCTCTGAGTGATATCCTTGACCGGGCCCTCGACGGTTACATCGGATAGGAGGACATAGCATTTCTCCGCCTGCTTGTACCACTTAAACATAGAATTAAGTGCTTCCGTCAATTCGGTGCTACTGTTCTTGTCAATGCAGCATGTGTCAACCCAGAAAAATTCGAGACCGTCTTTCGTAGCCTGTTCTGAGCAAAAGATGAGCTTGCTATATCCAGGAATAATTTTCGCCTGGTGTTCTTGTAATTGCGAGAACGTGACTTCATCCTCGTTGGAACCCCAGGTATGCGAGAGGATGGCGTAAGGCGGGATTTTCTCGCCGAATCGCTCAACCAAGTCGAATTGGTCGGACCCCGGCAGGCGATGGAGTAACCGCATAACAGCAGTAGCCTCGCAACATGCAAAACAAGTGGTACCAACAAAAGAATGAAATGAAATATTGTGGGAGAAGGAGCCGTAGAGCGCTTGCAGTGAAGAGGGTGAGACAGGCGAGATAAGAGTGCAACGAAGCGCGGCGGCCTAGGACTCGCTTCGCTGCAGCGGAACAGGTGTTGGAGTCACGCCTGAAGGCGGCTTGGAGACTCGTTACTCATTGGTGCAGCTGTGGTCCTCTCAACACGGTAAGGCTTCGTGGTGCAAGGCTGTGCAGCGACGATGGCTGGGTAAACGGCCAGCAAGCCTATCAACAGACTTCATCGTAATGTCGGAATTAATGCATATCCACCTAAAGAACACGATGATGAATCTGGCGAGTCAAGTGAAGATGGAGGGTCGGAATGTTGTGATGGCAGATAGTTTTAGGACGAGAACCGGGCCCCGGGGAGTGGTGACCTTGACGCGCACGACGCGCTCGATCTAGCGCACGGACGCTAATCCCACTTCGGCCCACTTGGGACGCACTTTCCGGTGACGCTGGAATCCATCAAGCACAGCCACATCATGTTTGCGTGGGAATGAGCTTACAAGCGATCGTGCCGACTTCAAAGAAGATGTATCACCAGACAATGACTGCAGGCAACATTCCAAACTCCGCCAACGTGATGACCAGTGGAGAAGGAGAGGTGAGGTGAGAGATACTTGAGGATGGCAGCACTGTCACTGTTCATTCATTGTGGGTTGACTCATACGTCTTTTACCACACCCGAAAGTTGAGAGTTTTCAGGATAGTGTTCAACGTGAGGCTGACGACTGTTTGTTGAGAACCCTGGCGCAGGGCGCACAACGAGGCACACACAAAGTACATGCTACATCAATGTACACTCGACCGTGAGCTTTTGGTATGGAAAGATGCTTTTGCTGTGGTATCGAAATCATGTCCGTAATCTACCATAAGTGAGACGCCAAACTCCGTGACCTTGTGGGAAGATCGTCCAAAGAATGCCGAACAGTCCAGTTATATCGCGGGAGATACAAATTGCCAGTCCTACTCGTCAACATCCATAGCCTCAACACCGCCACCGACCTTCCTCTTCAGCATCTTCTTCGTCTTGGTCTTCTGCTTGGGCAGCTCCTCCTCGAGCTCACTGAGCTCGCTCTCCTCAGCCTCAAGCTCCTTCCTCCTAGCCGCGACCTTGTCCTTGACCTTCTGCACATCAACCTCCATCTCCTCCTGCTCAACCTCCTCCTTGGCGAACCTCTCGCTCGGCGGCAGCAAGTGCTGGTTCTCCTCGACCAGCTTCCTGTCCTCCTCACGCTGCCTCTGCTTGTTGCCACGCATGCGCGCCTTGTAGAATGCGCGCTCTCTCCTCTGCCGGATCTCGGATACACGGCCCATGGCCTTGAGGGTGGTCTGGATGAGGTCGCGGTTGTATCGCACGGGCACGTTGCGGCGCTGGGCGAAGGTGAGGGTCGAGTCGACGGTCATTTCCTTGTTGTGCGCGCGGCGGAAGGATTTGGTCCAGGCCAGCTTGCGGGGGTTGCGCTTCATTTTGAAGTTCTTGTGGCATTTGCTCTTGCAGAAGCGGAAGGCCTTTGCATCGTTGCGCACTGATGAGTCAGCAAGGATTTCTTTGAGATGTGATTACTTATGCATACCAAAGGTTATACCCTTGGACGGGTACACCGGCGAAGAGCAGAAGTAGCAAGTCTCGATTCTCATCTTATCGTCGTGGCGCGAATGCGATCGCGCTCGTTCTTATCGTGGGTAGGTATGCGCTATTCCGCGTCGCAGTAGTCGTCAGCACGGGCTGAGATCAAGATATATAAGGATCGACCACGCTTCACTTAGTTGGCGGTGATGAGGCGGGTGTCGTGTAAAGGTGTGGAGGTTGAGGTTCGAGAAGTTCGCCGGCTCGAAATTTTGGGTGGCCTGTGCACGCCAACCCACCTGCCATTCTGGCCCGCCAATTGCGATGCTTGTCGACCGAGGCACCTCCGCAAATTTCCTTCTGACCACCTCGCCGCCGCCATCCACCTAGAGATCTCCATCTGACGTATCCTGCCGCCTACCTCGCATCGCGACTTCACACTACCCGTACACCAAAACACCCAAACCGCATAGTTGAGCCCAGATAGTGTGACGAGATGTCTGCCTGGGTTTGGATCTTGGGCGCCGGTGCCACTGCTTTCTTCGTATGGCCTCCAATCTCCTTAGTCACGCCTCTATGTTGACTGGATCGGCAACTGCTAGAGTATCACAATACACTAGGAACATGTACTGACGTCTATGAATAGGGTCGCGCAGCACTCGTGGCATTACGGAGATCAGGTGGTGGAGCTGGAGCATTAGGACGTGGATACTACAAGGGCGGCTTCGAGCCCAAGATGACACGGAGAGAAGCTGCTCTCATATTAGAGATGCCGTAGGTCTACCGCATATCATACCCTCTACGAAGAGCCTCATGAACTAATCAATCTCAGCGAACGCGGCATCACGAAAGAACTATTACGGAAGAAGCACCGATCGCTCATGCTCCTCAACCATCCCGATCGAGGCGGTAGCCCATACCTTGCGACCAAGGTCAACGAAGCGAAGGAACTACTCGAGAAGGAGGTTAAGGGATAATTTGATGGGCAAGAGGTGGATGATGTGTATACCAAGACTTTGTACTATATCACGGCATGATTCTCAGCATCAGCATGGCGTTGGACTGAATATGATTAGCGATTTACGACTCTCAACATGGTCCATTCCGTTCCTGTTGTATGATCTTGGCTATACCAACTTCCCTGACGGCGATAGCCAGGCATAGACCTCCACAGTTTCTATCGCCCACATCTACAGAATGCTTTCCTAGGTGCATGGAAAACAGTCATTGTTCGCTTATTGGCCGTTCTGGTAGACGGGCAGGAACGCATGCGAACATTAGGACAATTCCGGCGGTTCGACAGGCCGAGGCCGTTGACTATGGCCTTGCCTCATCGGATTGCAACCGGGTGGCTGTGAGGTCGCTTATTATCGCTTCAAAGGCATACATCTCTACCGTGTTCGATGCAGGAGTGCCTCAATTCAGCCTAGTTCGTGGGGATGAGCCCGGCCTGTAAGTTCAGCCTTGTGCCATAGAAGAGGGGTATATAATCGTTGCTCAGCCTTCCGACGTTCTTTTTTCTTTCCATCGACAAGACAGCAACCAGTCAGCGAACTCGAAGAACGCAGAAAACCATACTGATTACGATCACCACCTAGTCAATCAAGTACTAAACACCCATCATGTCCCGCAACGAGGATGACTACAAACAGCATCAAAAGAATTGGGAGGCGAAGCGAGACGAAGGCTATACTGACGAGGAAGAGTGGATGAAGAATGAGCAAGCCAACAATGAAGAGATGCTTGCTGAAATGGAAGCGTAAGCCACCTACCCTCTCATTTACCACGACATCCTTTGATGAGCCACCACCATCTGCCTCTACTATAAAACTGCCTAGTAGACCACAACACTTTCACGAGAACCGAGGCTGACAGCAAAGTAGCGAACGCAGAGGTCGCGAAGAGGCACGCGATGAATACGGCGACGACGCTGACGAGGGACATGACGACCGCATCGAGAAACTCAAAGACACGGAGAAAACGGTGCGAAACAGGATCGCATATCTGAAGGGTGAATACACATATGATCACGAGCAAGAATCGGAATCTAGGCCAGAAGTGGGATCTGGGGATGAGCAAGAACAAGAGCCTGCGGTAGAGGAATCGTCGGATATGGAACTTGATTCGGATAGTGATTAGGATGAGAGGTACTTCGAGTTGATAAACCTACCTTATCCAAGAAAAAGGCTGAACAGGTTTGCAGACTACATCAATTCACAAGCTTACAAGAAAGGTGACCTAATGTCAACGTAGTCTCTAGGGTTTCAAGCGTTTTCCTAGATTGGCATGAATAACTCATTCACGGTACCTTCTCGCATGCGAATCGCATATAATGAGGAAGCCGGGGGTAGCTCGTCATGTGATTGAGTGTTGGAGAATGTGAAGAAGTCTTGATACTTGGGCCAAATTTCGCAAGCACTCATGATAGTCTGCCTTGGCAATGCAACTAAGCAAGCACTGGTGTGGTTTGATAGTATATAAAAAGCGCAAAGGAACACCTCAATCATTACCCTTACACCCATTCGTCCATCCACCCGCCGCCTTGACAATCTTGTTATTCGCCCAACACCTTGCACGTACCCAAATCGGCGTACTAAACGTCGCATACCACTCGTGCCCATCATGATCAGCCGGATTGTCAAAGTACTCGAACTTCCAAAAGGATGTACCAAGACCATAGCAGCCATTCATGTTAGGCCGAAGAGTATCTTTTCCGTAATCCCAGGTCGAGAAGCCAGCACCCTCGACCTTGTAGCGTCCGTGAGTCCCCTTATACCAGCCCTCGCAGCGACCATATGGCGCTTTTGGCGGCGGCCAGGGGCGGTTACTGCGGCGGGGGTTGAGCTCGTACTTGTAGTCTCCGCCGCTGCGAATGTATCTGCCACCACCCTTCCAGTTCATGGGGTTATCGGATGTGTCGCATGAGTTCATGATCTTCTTCATTGAGTCCACGCACTCGTCCTTGTCGAATCCCGAAACACCATTGCTGAGGGTGACGACGTAGTCGTGCTGCTCTGGTGTGCCTTCGTCGTAGGTTTTGGAGTAACTCCAGTTGATCTTGTTTTTGTCGTGCTTATCTTGGACTTCCTTGCAGAACCCCTCGTAGTTCTCATTGGTGCGATTGCCACTGACGTAAAATTTGCTTCCCGTCTTGGAGAAACATGTAAATTCGTCTTTGACGGCGGTGCAGGCGGGTGAGTCGACGCCCAGAACGATGGCGCGCAGGTCCATGAGTTCTGAGATAGCGAAGGAGGCTATAGTCAGGTGGCCGGCTTCGTTGGGATGGAACTGCAAATGTCAGTCAAATAACCTTGGCATAATTGTACCTAAGCGCAGCCAGTACTTACGTTA